CTGGCCCCCCGGCGCCGTGCACTTCCTCAACAACCTGCAAGGCAAGGAAGTGCACGGCCAGGTCCTGGACGTGCTGCTTCCGCACCGCCTGATCCTGCTGGAGGTGCCCGATCTCTTCCAGCAGATGCTGCAGCTCGGCCTGGCCCGCCAGGTGCCCGAGAGCCTCTTCCGCTCCCTGCTCAAGCGCTACCTTGCGGCGGCCATCACGGGCTTGGGGCCCGGGGCTGTGGTTCTCCCGCGAGCCCTGCCTAAGCAAGAGCCGCCTGGCCTGGATTACTTCTATCCCCAGCTACAGCTGGGCGTGACCGAGCCCGTAGTGGTCACCCAAGTGTGCCACCCGCACCGCATTCACTGCCAGCTGCGGAGCCTCTCGCAGGAGATCCACCGCCTCTCAGACAGCATGGCCCAGGTATACCACCAGGGCTCCCTAGGGACTGGCGATGAGAACTCTCTCAGTGCCACCTGGGAGGAGAGGGAGGCCGAGGAGAACCCTGACAAGCCTGGCGCCCCGTGTGCTTCCTGTGGGTTAGATGGGCATTGGTACAGGGCCCTCTTGCTTGAAATGTTTCGGCCGCAGCGCTGTGCCCAGGTGCTTCACGTCGATTATGGCAGGAAGGAGCTAGTGAGTTGTAGTAGTCTTAGGTACTTGCTGCCGGAATATTTCCGGATGCCAGTAGTCACCTACCCTTGTGCTTTGTACGGACTCTGGGACGGTGGGAGGGGCTGGACCAGGTCACAAGTCGGTGACCTCAAAGCACTGATTTTGGGCCAGGCCGTGAATGCAAAGATTGAATTCTATTGTGCTTTCGAGCATGTGTACTACGTCACACTATATGGAGAAGATGGGATTAACCTTAACTGTGTGTTTGGCGTGCGGTCCTGTTGCTTGGCGGACAGATTCCTTCAGAACCAGGGAGTCGAGGAGGAGGAGGAGGAGGAAGAGGCAGAGGCCGCTCTTCACCCTCAATCTCCTTGGGAGGAAATGGACGAGGAGCTCTCGCTCCCGGCCTTAAGATCGATCAGATTAAAGATGAACGCCTTCTACGACGCCCAGGTAGAGTTTGTGAAAAGCCCTTCTGAGTTTTGGATTCGGTTGAGGAAGCACAGTGGCACCTTCAGCAAGTTGATGCGGAGGATGTGCAGTTTCTATTCCTCCGCCACTAAGCTGGACGGCGTAGTTTTGAAACCTGAGCCCGATGACCTTTGCTGTGTCAAGTGGAAAGAAAACGGCTATTTCCGGGCCATTGTCACCAGACTCAATGACACAAGTGTCGATCTGTTCTTGGTGGACCGAGGCAATTCCGAAAATGTGGACTGGTCTGAAGTCCGGATGTTGCTTCCTCAGTTTCGGCGGCTCCCGATATTGGCCCTGAAATGCACGCTAGCCGATATTTGGCCTCTGGGGAAAAGTTGGAGCCAGGAGGCAATCTCTTTCTTCAAAAAGACCGTGCTTCACAAAGAATTAGTTATCCATATCCTTGACAGGCAGAATCATCAATATGTTATTGAGATCCTGGATGAATCCAGGACGGGGGAAGAAAACATCAGTAAGGTCATTGCTCAGGCTGGCTATGCCAAGTATCAGGAATTTGAGATGAAGGATAAGCCCCCTGTTGGAGCCTATTCCCCATGGCCTGTTTCAAGCCATTGTACCACAGACAATAACAACGTGTCTTTTCTCGGGAAGGCAGAAAAAGACCAGAAAGCAAAGAGAGAGCAGGAAGCCCCATCTGTTTCAGAAGCTCTGGCTGGCCCAACAGTTGTTACAAATGTTTCAGCTGGGCCTGGTTTGCAGGAGAAAGGGACGAAAACACCTGCTTGTACTCCCCCTGCATGCACTCCCCTTGCCCAGAGCAAGTGGCAAATGAACGCAGGCCCTTCTTGTAAAGAAGAGCTGGAGGTGGGAAGTACAGTGGAAGTCAAAGTGTCGCACGTTGAGAACCCTGGCTACTTTTGGTGCCAGCTAACGAGGAACATACAAGGCTTTAGAACGCTAATGAGTGACATTCAGGACTACTGCAAAAACACAGCCACCCCTTACCAGGGACTCTCCCCAGCCTGTTTGGCCAAACGGACAGTAAGTGGGAAGTGGGCCCGAGCTGTGATTGACGGGGCACCATCTGCAGAGCAGATCAAAGTCACCTTTATAGATTATGGAGACAAAGATACGGTGCCAGTGAAGAATGTTTACTCAACCAGGGAGGAGTTTCTGACAGTCAAAGCGCAGGCTTTTCAGTGTAGCCTTTATAATTTAATTCAGCCCAGCGGCCCGAACCCCTTGGCTTGGGATGAAGAGGCAATACAAACTTTCAACAAGTTTATAGATAACGCATGGGAAGGCAACCTAGAATTAAAATGCACAATATTTGCCTTGGCGTCCATCCACGACGCGGAGTACTTTCATGTGGTGGATTTGCTAACCCCGTTCCAGAGTGCTTGCTGTACTTTGGTGGAAAAGGGACTGGCAAAACCAGTGAACCTCCAGAAACCTCTGGAACCCTCTGTCCGCCTACACTCCTACTACTATTCTACACACGATGTGAAAATTGGAAGCGAGGAAGCCGTATACATAACTCATGTAGACCAATCTTGGACGTTTTACTGCCAACTGGCAAGAAACGCAAAGATCTTTGAGCAGTTGTCATGCCATATTGCACAGTTACGCAAAGCGTCGCTCCACTTAGAAGCAGCTCCCTTGGGCCGTGGCACCTTGTGCCTTGCCAAGTATATAGATGAGAACTGGTACAGGGGGATAGTGATGGAAAAAGAGCCAAGTAAAATCTTCTTTGTTGATTTCGGGAATGTTTACACAGTCGCAAACGACGATCTGCTTCCCATACCCGGTGACGCATACGATGTCTTACTGTCACCCATGCAAGCTGTGAAGTGTACCTTGTCTGATATCCCCGATCGGATCCCAGAAGAAGTTACCACCTGGTTTCAGGACACGATTTTAGATAAGTCACTGAAGGCCTTGGTGGTAGCAAAAGATTCAGATGGGAGGCTCATCGTAGAACTGTATGATGGCAGTGTTCAAATTAATGCCGCCGTCACTGAGAAGTTGGGGCTCCTTGGTTACAAAGGCAAGGCCAGGCAAAAGGAAGCCCCCCGCCTCTGTGCGGCTCACACCCTGGAAGAACCAGGTGAAAACAGGAACTTGTCACTGACGACGGAATATTTGAGTAAACCCGAGGAGGACAAGTTACACAGTGTGGAGTTTGCGGGAGATTCGTGCACACCTACGGTCAGCTCAGCCTGCAGAGAACTCACGGTTTTACAAAGTCCAACCAAGACAAACGCGGCCATGAAATACCAGAACCCCTTGGGCCACCAGAACCGCCCAGCATCTCCGTTAGCAAAACAAACGAAGGAAGGAGCTGTGGCTAAGTCACCTTTGAAGGCGGCAAAACTAGAAACCGTTGCCTTGGAGAAAAAACCCGGAGACTGTAATCAAGATGCGCCTCTCAAATATTCCGAGTTCCCTCGGAAGACTGTAAAGCCTGGCTTTAAAACAACCGTGTATGTTTCTCACATAAATGACCTTTCAGACTTTTACGTTCAGCTCCTGGAAGATGAAGCCGTAATCAATCATCTCTCGGAGAGCTTAAATGATAGCAGGAGACCCCCTGACCACTATGCAGGTCCACCTTTGCAAACAGGAGACGTCGTATGTGCCATGTTCCCAGAAGACAATTTATGGTATCGGGCTGTGGTTGTGGACCGACAACCAAATGACCTTTTCTCCGTACAGTTCATAGATTATGGCAACGTTTCTGTGGTTTGTGTTAACAAAATAGGGAGGCTTGACATGATGCACGCAACATTACCAGGACTGTGCATTCATTGCTCCTTAGAGGGACCTTGGGCTCTGGAGAGGACAAACCAGAAGGAAATGATGCACTACTTTTCCCAAAGGACAGATGGGGTGCAAATCAGATGTGAATTTGTTCAGTTTCAAGGAAGGTGGGAAGTGATTCTTGCTGATGAATGTGGGATCATAGCAGAATACATGATTAGCAGGTACGATTTCAACGAAAAATCTGAAGGAGAACTTACTGCCCAAGCAAAGAAAGGCACCGTTCTAAAGTCTGCTGACAAACCAGACATTGATACGTCAGTCTTCCTTAACTGGTACGATCCGGAGATGAAGGTGCTAAGAGTTTATGCATCAGTGATAGATGGACCTGAGTACTTTTGGTGTCAGTTTGCCAATACAGAGAAGCTTCAGTTCTTAGAAATAGAAGTACAGGCTGCTGGGCATCTGTTGGCAACATGGAGAAATTGTATCACATACCCTCACATTGGAGATCCGTGCATAGTGAGGTACAGGGAGGATGGGCAATACTACAGGGCACTCGTCACGAGAATTTGCGAAGATGATCTTATCTCTGTCAGGCTTGTGGACTTTGGCAACACCGAAGACTGTGTGGATCCCAAAGCAATCTGGAATCTACCTGCTGAGCTCCTGTTGGTTCCCATGCAAGCCTTTCCCTGCTGCCTCTCGGGATTTAACGTTTCAGAAGGAGCGTGCCCTCCTGAGGGCAATGACTATTTTTTCGAAATAGTAACCGAAGATGTCTTGGAGCTAACCATACTTGACATCAAAAGGGATATTTGTGGCATTCCTTTAGCAATTGTTGACTTAAGGAGCAAGGGTGAAAGTATTAATGAGAAAATGAAGAAATACTCCAGGAGGGGAATGACTAACTGTGATCCAGCCCATGACAAATGTCTAGAGACAAAGGGAGCCCTGGGGTACTCCAGTCCTGATGTTGGATTTCAGATACAGAGCGGTAGAACTGGACAGAAGACCTTATATTCAGAGCCACTCGCAGACGAGCTCTCCAAAAAACCAGAAAAGGGCTTCAACATTATGGAAGCCAACTCCTGTAAGGCCCGTGACCAGGAGACGAAGAAGACTATTTTTGAAGCATTTGAAAGCCCCCACAAAGACACAGTTGGTCCTGGGGTGCTGGATGGTAAAGCAGAGTGCCATGTAGTTGACCAAACAAAGGTTGATGAATACTTAAATCCAGGTCAAAACAAAGTAGTGCCGCGTGCCTGTGAAGCAAGGGCGCTATTGAAACTGAATGCCCTTGAGCTGCCACTCGGTCTGGAGGGCACATCAAAGGAATTCTTAGAACTGGAATCTGAGTTAGAGCTTTCTCGAGTTGGGATGGGAGATCAAGAGCTCACTGTCGTGCCCCCGATGGTCCCCCTTACTCAGTGCTGTGATAGAGTAGGGGTCTGGGAAGCCGAGAAACAGCCAGAACTGGAACTGCCCACGGAGCAGCCCTCCCGAGATGGCATAATGCCTCCGTTGCCTTTAAAATTGAGTCGGAAAGCCCAAGAGCCCGTGTGTGTTGAGGACACCAGGAAGCCAAGCTGTGCCGATGGCTTTGATGACCCCCCCGGGACCCCACTACAACGATGGGGACAGAGTCGCAGTCCCCAAACTCAGATGGAGAGGAAGGCCTTTGAAGGCGAATTGACCGACTGTAAGAAGAGGGGTGCCCTTTCACCGTTGACATCGTTGACGCCCCTGTTCCCCGAGAAGGAACCCAGGGAGGGATGGAAGCACAGTCACACTGTCCCAGCTCGTGCCTCAGGTATGTAGTTTCTTGGTTATTTTTAATTACAAGTTCATTGTAATGCTTCTCAAAATGTTTGTTTTGTGTTTTTTTTAATCATTTTTACATGGGGTTGTTTTTAATGCAGGGTAGGGGAATTTTTTTTTCCTGTTTCTTTTTTTTTTTCTTTTTTGTGGTGGTGGTGAGGAATAAAACATGGGAGGTGACCCAGATTGGAGTTTTATGAAGGGTTTTTTAAATGTGGGGGGAAATCACTTCTGAAAGCAGTGTGAAATACTTTCTACGTCGCCTTTTTTTTTTTCATTTAGTGCTTGAAAGTAGAATACTTCCAATCCTTAAATCTCCAAAGATAATCACCTTGGAAATATAAATACATCAGATTTTAAATGCATCTGATTTAAAATCAGAAGATTTTTTTTTTGGGGGGGGGTTGTCCATCAAAAACTGTCCCTTTGCCAAGCACTGGTTAGGCATGGATTTAAGATATGGGTTATTTTAGCATCGAATTGTTTTGTTTCATTTAGAAACTTTAATAGAGGTTTGGGGGAGACTGTTAATGCACTCAAGTTGATAGTCAGGAGTAAAGCTTGGAGCCCGTCACCATTAACATCAGAGGTTGAAGTCAAACAGTTTCTCTGCCAAATCATAGAAAACTTTATTTCTCTTTTTTAAAGCTTTTTTGTTGTTGTTAAGTTTTATTTTCTTTTATTGGGGGCTCTTCCAGCTTTTATCACAGTGCATACACATGTGTCAAGCACATCTTTACGTATGTTGTCATCATCTTTTAAGAGACATTTTCTTTTACTTGAGCCCCTGGCATAGCTTCTGATCCCACCCCCCACCCCCTCTAGAACACATCATTAAACAAAACATCCCACGGTGAAGGTAGGGTTTCCACACATCCTCCTCCTGGGTCCCAAGGCTTCCGACAGAAGGCAGTCTCACTAACTCTTCCCCCAAAGACTCCCGTGCTGTGTGGTTTACCCCTGGTCACAAAGCGCGTCCTCGTTGACATCCTTGAGGGGCTCAAAGCTCGCTCCTTTTAAATATGCTTTGAGTTTGGGGAATGAGAACAGGCCTGTGGAGGCACAATGAGGGTGGGGGGGGGGGTAAGGCTTCTCAGTGAAATTCTGCAGGGCCAGCCTTTGCTGCCCTCTCAGAATGAACGGGCAGGTGCATTCTAATGAGGAAAGTCCCCGGTACAATGTTCCTGCCTTTCCCTCACGAACCCAGTTTTCTTAGAACTTCTTCTGAAGAACGCATGCGATTGTCCTGTGTCCTTCCCGGGGAGATGACTCCCTTGTCACCCAACCCCTTAACTCCTTGGGGCAGCTTTGCTCTGGCCTGAAGGCTGTTGTGAGTTAGAATTGATGATTGGTTGGCAACACCCAGTCCTGTTGACATACCATAAATTTATTTACTGTTAACCTTAGCATTAGGTGCCTGGTTCTCATTGTCACATTCGAATAATAAGTTCTGACGTTGCCTTAAGGCTCTACTCCACAGCTGTTTCATGATAGGAATGGTGATTCTAACACTGGATCTGCAGTATCAGCTTCCAGTGATTTTCAGTGTTAGAAATGGGGTTCACCTCTTTATGGTGGTGGTGGTGGTGAGGGAAAGCAGCAAGGGATTCGGGGTGCTGGCGGCACTGGCTGGAAGAATTGAAATGAAGCCCAGGAAAAAGAACCTATTGATTTTGACTACATAAGAAGACTAGGGGCAGATGGGAAAATGTGCGTTGCTTGTGTGGGCGCCGTCAGTGACCTGAGAGTTCTGAATCGAGTCTCCACTTGGTTCCATCTAGCAGCTCAACCAGAGAACACCTATACGCTGAAGGGATTTACTGTGGGGTCCAAATGTGTCGTCTGGTCCACTCTGAGACACACCTGGTCTATGTGTGAGATCATGGAAATAGCCGAGGAAGGCACCAGGGTAAGTGAATTGAAGTACTTAATCTCAAAGCGCACTTGCAGGTGGCTCAGGAAGCTTCTAACCAAGACCCAGCCACTTCGCTCTTCATTGATAAAAAGCCCCTTTTATCCCACTGGCTTCCTCTGAACCCTTGGTCCGGTCCTCCTTGAGCTGATTCTCCCACCTGCCAGGGGTAAAGGTTTTCAAATGCAAATCAGATGCCCTTGCTAGAACTTTTCCAGAGACCCCCCCCCAACTGTGTTGTTTCCCCTGGGCCCCTAAAACCAGAATTACCAGGCATGTTCCTTACATTACAGATCCCTTGGGCCTTACCCTAATGGCTGACTTAGCATGTCTGGGGGTAGGATCCAGGGATGTGCATTAAAAAAAAATAGTTACTTGTTTTTAAAAATTGATCATTTTATTGGGGGCTCTTAGAGATATAACAATTACATCTAATGAAATTGTACAGATGCTGCCATCATTTTCAAAACATTTTCTTTCTACTTGAGCACCTTGATATCAGCTCCTTTTTATTCCTTGCCTCCCCAACCCTACCACCCTCGTGAACCCTTAATAAATTTTGTATCATTATTATTATTTCATATTTTACACTATCTGATGTATACCTTCATTGTTATTTGTCCCACTCGAGGGGGGGGCCTTATACATCCATCATTGCTATCAGTTCCCCCTTGCCCCCACTCATCCCTTCCCGTAGCCACATGGAATCCTTATTCCCATTACTCTTTCTGAGGGGCTTAGCTATCCTGGATTCCGTGCTCTTATCTGTACCAATGTACACATACCAGTCTAGCACGATTTGAGGTCGAACTGGGGCCATGATAGTGGAGGGAGGGAGCATTAAAGAACTAGAGGAATATTGTGCTGCACTGCACCCTGGATGAGTCTTTCCTTCCACGTGTCCCTTCTGTGAGGGAGTTTCCAATTATCAACTGATGGGCTTAGGATCTCCACTCTGACCCCTCTCCTTCACCATAACTTGATTGTTTGTGATCTTTTGATAACCTGATCCCATCAAAGGAATGTGCATTTTTTATTTTGTTGTTTTAAATAATTTTATTAGGGGCTCTGTCGACTCATCAATTCATACAACTTTTATCACAATCCATACATACATCCATTGTGTCAAGCACATTTGTACATTTGTTGCCTTTATCATTCTCAAAACATTTGCTTTCTACTTGAGCCCTTGGTATCAGCTCCTCATTTTTCCCCTCCATCCCCACTCCCTGCTCCCTCATGAACCCTTGATAATTTGTAAATTATTATTATTTTGTCATATCTTACACTGTTCAATGTCTCCCTTTACCCACTTTTCTGTTGTCTGTCCCCCAGAGAGGAGGGTATTATATGTAGATCCTTATAATCGGTTCCCCCTTTCTACCCCACCTGACCTCCATGAATGTGCATTTTTAATGCCATTTTTTATGCCCCAAATCTGAGAACCTCTTGTCCACCATATAAAAACAAGTCAATGTTCATGAACATGATAACCAAAGTAGGACCTGTAGGGTGGAGCTTCTGGTACCTCTCCAATCTTTACAACTTCCTCTGTTGTATTTGAACTTTATATGAGATGGACGATCACACTTCCTCAGTTTCTTTCATATATGTCCGCTCACCATTCTGTTTGCTTGCTTCAGTGTCTTTAAGCAGCTCCATTTGCTGCTCTGTCCACAACCGTGCTAACTCCCACTTATCTTTAAAGCCCCTCATCTCCACCCGCCGCCAAAAGAGCTTTATTGCTATAACATATTTTACCTCCTCAGCAGAAGTCTGTACTTCCTACCTTGTATATGATCTGCTTTGAGGTCTGTCAGTCCACTAGATGTTGAATTTCTTGAGGTAAGATCCAAGGTAAGATCTTCACCTTTGATCTCCAGGTGCAGCTACTCTCTCTCTGCACGTGTTCAACTGAAGCACCACGCAGTGAAAACAAAAGGTTGGAGTTTAATGAATCCTTTTAAAAGCACCAGCGAGGGCTTTCAGAACAGTGGACGATAACTTTGGAAGTCCCCTCGTATCTCACTTCTAACAGGATTGTTCGTACATAAATCAGGTGCAGATGTTGGAACCTGCCCATTTTTAGGAAGTGTTCTCTTTTCTCTTGAAGGTTTTGAACCTTTCGAATGGTCTGGAGGAGACAGTGGACCCTGACAATGTCTGGGACGGCATCCCCGACCTGGCTAAGGGCCCGTCTGAGGTATCCCACCGTGCAATCCAAAATGAATGAGAACATTGCCCTTCACGTTGAAAGGTTCCTTAAGAAAACAATCCCAAAGTCCTTGTGGTAGGAAAAGGAGACACAGCAATTCCAAAGAGCAATTAAAAAAAAAAAAATCAAGGGTTTCTGGCCTTCAGAGAAAATGAAGGATTATTGTTTGGTTACTTGATTTTCACCTTGGGATTTAAAAAATAAAAATTGTTGGGCATCATGACTTTTGAAAAACTAACTCTTGGTGTAAAAAACTTGGGAAATATGGCATAATTAAGGAGTGGAAAGCCACAGTCGCATGTAGTATGCACACACCGGGGGTTAGCAGGCATTTTTATCTCATGTTGAAATTTTACATGGCACGTAAGTGTGTCATCTGTGTAGTTAGGAGCCCCGCTGGGCCAATGGTGAAGCATGGGGCTGCTCATGGACATGGGGCTCTGCTTCTGCAAAGTTACACCAGGAAGTCCTTTGGGGGCAGTTCTGCTGTGCCACACAGGGCCACTATGAGTTGGAAGCAACTTCGTGACATGCAGTGATGTCTACATAATTTGATCATAATTGATTTCATTCGACATATATTTGGAATGATGTTTTTTTTGTTTAAAACTACGGTGAGTAATTTTTCATGCCATTATTTAGCCAGTTTGGAAATTGCTGAACTTTTTATTTTTAAATAGGTTTGTCTGATGGTTCTACTCCACGGTCTTGTCAGGTATTGCATCTGTTGGTGGCTTTTCCCCTTCAGGAATATGATAGGTTTTCCTGGTCCTTTGTACTCTGAGTAAAGGTAGATCTTTATCCTGAATGTTTCAAATAATATAAGATTCGAGGTTCTCTGAATCCTGTGGGGAAAGAAAAAATTAGTGAGATTGTTGTTTTATCAGGCAGTCGTGCACGTTAGATTGGTCCTCCAAGTTCTACCGCTTCTTAAGTGACTGATGGCACCAATGTCCGTTTAGTTTTCAAAGCGCTCACCGTGTGGATTGGGCCTTTCTATTAGTACAACTCGGGGACTTGGGCAGTGACTTATATTACAGTTGCGGTTATTGGGTCTCTGCGATGCTTCCTTGGTTGTGTTGGGCACATGTACACAGCTCAGGTCTCGGCGGTACGGTGGCTGCTGGCGCAAACATTTGAGGTGTGAGTCTACCCAGAGGCACCTTGGCCGAAAGGCCTGGCTCTGTGCTTTCACCACGGTCCTCTAGCTACTGAAAGCCCTATGGTGCGGAGTCCTGCTCTGACACTCCTGGGGTGACTCTGAACTAGACAGAACTGACTTAAGTCTTTCATGAGAGGGGCCTTCAGAAAGTGTGTGGGGAAATGCTCTGGAAAGACATTGGGGCTCTTTCCACACACTTTTTGAAGCCCTTTCATAACGGCATTTGTGGCCCATCACAGATAATATTATTCAACAGCTGCCCCTTGTCAGGAGCTTGAGTGTTAAGCTGGGTTAAAGGGTACTTTCCTCTCTGGAAGGGGTGGTCCGGTGGGGAACGTGCCAGAGAAAGCGCATGGAGCCATGGAAACTGTGTGTAAGGTGATTCTTACCCACAAAATCAGATTGTCATCATTTTACTTGGAATATAATTTTGTTGTTGGCCCCTCCCTTTTATTTCCCCCCTTGAATCACCCATGATCT